ATGATTAAAAACCCAATCTTGCCAATCTTTTAGAGAAATTGGAGAGTAGAAATTACGGTTCAAAAACAAAATTAAACTCCCGTTAAACAAAATTGGAGAGTTAGAAATTATGATATCATGTGCATCACAGTTTATCAAAAAGCATATTAAATTAACTAATGAGGGCATTAATAGCTAAAGGACAACTGTGGTACGTTACTCGTCAATATTATGTAGAATGAAGTTTCAGAGCTATTTTATGAAAGTTCTCCTAGAATGGAGAGAATTTACCATCAGAAAACCATTCAAATTTATCCCAAAACCAGGATCAACATCTTAGAAAGACAACCTTCTCAAATAAATGTCGACCCATGTCACTGGAAAATAACTAGTTATGGATACAATGAAAAATGTTTAACATTTAAGAAATATCAAGAATAGAAAGTCGGTCATTATAATAGAAAACTTTAAACAACTCCAATTCAGAGTAGGTCATAGTTGACTTCCAATTTTGAATACAACAGCCAAGTTAGAATTCTAAACCCAAAAACTACTCTGCTGACCAAAATGAAGCTGTACTTGCACCCTTAACCAATGGGATTGATTTTCTATGAAAAGGGGAAAAAGAAATATTCACAAAATCGGTAGTGGCAAAGAAAGATGGAAATTTTCCTATAGCTATTGCAAAATGCACGAATGAAGTGTCAATTAAGGTACAAAACGCAGACATGGAGTGGCAAGATAAAATAGTTCAATAAGATAACTATCACCATAGAATTTGTAACCCTGTTTCCCTATATAGTAATATGGACCAGAGTCATAGATGCTAATGGGGATCAATGGGCAAATCAATTGTCCAAAAGATGCAATACAAATTATACTTGAAAGGAAAAAGGATGGCTAAGAGCAACACTCCAGTAAGTGGCCCAAGAGAAAAAAATCTATTTGCGATAGATGAGCATGCAAGGAGCCAAAAGACAAGTAGATTGATGAGAAGCATACCTTGAGAGGAGATTCGGAAGCCTGACTTTCATACGGTTTCGGATCTGTTGAGCAAGGGTCTACACCAAGGCTAATTTCCTAAGCTTGCTATGAGGGGCTCCTGTTAGTATAGATTACAGACTTTCACTCTCTACTCGCCATGCAGTTTTCAAAGAGTTATCAGCTCCAACAATCCCTGATTGAGGAGATGCTATGGAGACAGGCCAATCAAAGCAACCCATGGGATGTTTGAAGCTGCTTCATCTATCTTACTAATAATACCCACAGTTCTTGTACCTAAAAAATAAAACCAACAATTGCCAACACATGAGTTTTACAAGCAAGAGAATAAAAAAAGGATTTGGTGTATATACAAGTAGAACAAAGTCCTATCTTTTCTGGTCATGCAGATCAATTAGTTATTTGGTCCCATCTAAATTGAGCTTCATAAAAGAATATTTAAGGCATCTAATAAGGACAAGAACAACAATACATAGACAACTATTGGGCTAATATAGTTTGTCACTTCACAAAGCTTGTTCCATTGTGAACACTAGACAACAATTATGAACAATTTTACCAAAATCCACATTAGAAAAGAAACTAAATGCACCAAAAGAACAAACGCAAGAATTCACCATATGAATTTCCTTTTTGTCCATCGAATTGACTTCCAACACAATTTTCTTTCAATTTCAATTATTTGGTTTATCTCTTTCCACCTTCACATTGCATAATCTCACACATAATTAGTAAGCTATTATTCTCATTAGTATTTAAAAGAATCATCTGAAAATTTTCCCCTTTACATTTGTCTCTCCCGATAAATCTCTTCAAATTAAAAGTCATCGTCATTTATCAATAGATTGCATGATACTTTGGGTCTTTATGGAAGTAAGTAATTGGTAATGTTCTAGGCTTCTAGCACAGCAGAAAGGCAGGGATTAGGCACCCAAAATAGTTAAAGAAAACAATTACGTTGTAGACAGACATTCCATTTAAGCTGCAGCAAAATGGAGAATGTTTTTTAGCGGTGAAAATGTCGAAGTAACGTGGAATTAGGGGGAAAGAAGTGTCACCTTTCTTGCTCAAACCTTGGCAACCGAGATCTCAAGCTGGCTCCCAAGACCAACCAATTCCTCCAACTGTAAAGAACTTATATCAGTAGTTCCCTGGTACCTCAATACCTCTTCAACACCGCTTCTCCCAAATAAAACCAAAACTGGAAACGTGCCCCCATTAGAAACCTAAGAATTTCCATCCCCATCTGAGACTAGACACCAATTACCCTAAAATAAAAACACAGTAATTATTCTCAACTGGCCAGCCCAACAACAAGCCCTTCAGACTCCCCATTTCCAATTATCCCCTACAGAACCCTAAAATCCCTTTCTAGAAATTCCAATCAGTTAACTAGTTACAAAAAATCTTCAACAGATTAATATCTTTCATAAAAAAAAAAAAAAAGACATCGACGAAGTCAGGCTGGTGACCAGGGCTGTGCTGGGACTCGGGTCCGATCTCAATGTCAGCGAACTCGTCCACGATTTTTTGCATTGTGTTCTGAATAAACTCATCAAATAAGTCGGGTTGTTGATGCACCAAACCCTTCTCCTAAAAGTAGGCACTGATCACCGCCCACGTATTCTTCTGTATCTCTTAAACTCAGTCGGAGTGGAGGAGAAGAGAGGAGATGAGAGGAGAGGAGTAGAGAAGAGAGGAGCATGCGAGAAGGAAGAAAGAATATTAAGTGATTGTGTGTGGCAATTTATATATACAACCAGTGACACCTTTGGCAACGTTTGACAAACATCACCTTTCACTACCTTTCGCAACGTTTGTCAAACATTGCTAAATATAAAGCCTTTTGTAACGTTTGTCAAACGTTTCGATAGACAAACGTTGCAAAAAGGGGTCTATCGCAACGTTTGACAAACGTTGCAAAAGGAGTTACTTTTAGCAACATTTGACAAACGTTGTGAAAAATAAAACCTTCCACAACACTCAATAAATGTTGCAAAAAAGGGGTCTATCGCAATATTCTTCTAAAAACGTTGTGAAAACTAAAACCTTCCGCAACACTCAATAAATGTTGCAAAAAAGGGTCTATCGCAACATTCTTCTAAAAAACATTGCCAAAACTCATTGACATTAACCAATGACAACATTCACTTACTAAAATGTTGCTAAAAGACTCTTTTAATAACATTTATCAATAAGGGCCTGTTTGGTTGTGATTTTCAAAATCAATTATCCACGATTTTTTGCATTGTGTTCTGAATAAACTCATCAAATAAGTCGGGTTGTTGACGCACCAAACCCTTCTCCTAAAAGTAGGCACTGATCACCGCCCACGTATTCTTCTGTATCTCTTAAACTCAGTTGGAGTGGAGGAGAAGAGAGGAGATGAGAGGAGAGGAGTAGAGAAGAGAGGAGCATGCGAGAAGGAAGAAAGAATATTAAGTAATTGTGTGTGGCAATTTATATATACACCCAGTGACACCTTTGGCAACGTTTGACAAACGTCACCTTTCACTACCTTTCGCAACGTTTGTCAAACATTGCTAAATATAAAGCCTTTTGCAACGTTTGTCAAACGTTTCGATAGACAAACGTTGCAAAAAGGGGTCTATCGCAACGTTTGACAAACGTTGCAAAAGGCGTTACTTTTAGCAACATTTGACAAACGTTGTGAAAAATAAAACCTTCCACAACACTCAATAAATGTTGCAAAAAACGGGTCTATCGCAATATTCTTCTAAAAACGTTGTGAAAAATAAAACCTTCCGCAACACTCAATAAATGTTGCAAAAAAGGGTCTATCGCAACATTCTTCTAAAAAACATTGCCAAAACTCATTGACATTAACCAATGACAACATTCACTTACTAAAATGTTGCCAAAAGACTCTTTTAGCAACATTTATCAATAAATGTTGCCTTTTTAGTGTTGTAAATGACTATATTTGTTGTAGTGAGTTAACAGACATCTCATAATCTATAAAGTCAAGAGGATTGAATATTTCGTTAGACACAAGTCTCTCAATTCTCGTCTTAGAGACGTGACCTAATCTTTTATGCCACAATGAGGCAAAATTCTTGCTAGTTAATTTTCTCTTTACACATCGAGTACTTACATGCAATGATTCATTTAATGAAGCAATCGTATCAATTAAATAAAGATTATCGTAATCTGATAAAGAACCGGAGCCAACCGATTTTGAATCATGAAACAAACTAAAATTTCCATTTCCAAATAAACAAGAATAATTAGATTTATCCAAAGTAGAAATGAAAATCAAATTTCGTCTAAAAGACGATACAATAAATGTTTCATTAAGATCCAAATAAAATCCAATCTTTAACAATTATCTGAATTTTCCTATCGTCTCTACTTCCTCCGTCTTGCCCTCGCCAGCATAAATGTATCTTTTACCATCATTTGGTTTTCGACAACTGAGGTAACCCTGCATAGACACACTGATGTGAGTTGTTGCACCAGAATCTATCCACCATGAGTGTCTAGGTACTGAAGTTAAATTAATCCCAGAACAAATCAAATGAAGAAGAATACCTTTTCATGGCATGCCATGCGTGACCGTTGGTACAATTTTTCTTCTTATGACCTGCAGCTACAAAAGAAATAGCCATCCTTAATTTGATCCTTATGCTGTTTCTTTTGTAATGCTGTACCCCTTGCTTTCTTATTAGTTTTATTTTTCTTTTTCCTTTTGTCCTTAGGGGTTGTGGCTAAATGAGCACTCTTTGTCTGTCATGCTTCAATCTTTCTTCTTCTTGGACATAATAAGAGATGAGCTCAATAAGGGACCATGGGTTCTTTTGACAATTGTAGCTCACCTTGAATTAACTGAATTGTGCTGGAAGGGATATCAGAACCAAGTGCACCATCAAGTTTTCAGATAAATTCGACTTGAGTGCCTTTAGTTTTGAAACAATATGAGACATTTCCATAATGTACTCCAGTATGTTTTTTTTCCCTTTATGTCTCATTGAGATAAGATTTGCCAAAAGTGTACTAGTTTAAGCCTTTTCATTCTTGGCAAACCTCTTTTCAAGGTCCTCAAGGAAACCCTTAGCAGTAGTGACCTTATCAGACATAGTACCCCGAAATGCTTCTGAAATAGCACGCTTTATGACCATCAAACTTATGCGGTTCGATTGTTTCCAGTTTTCCATCTCCCTCTTATCATTAGAGGTACTCTTATCAGTAAGTGTAGCAAGTTGATTGTCTCGTAAAGCAATGTCCAAATCTATGACTCTGAAAACAATCATCACGTTCTCTTGCCATGTCTTGAAGCTGGTGCCATTAAGCATTGGAATTAAATTGATGCGAGCAAACATATTAACAGTAGAACCTGAAACTGAATTAGAAAATAATTAATTCGGAATAGCTCACATAAATATATTTAATATGCAAATAATAATTTTAAATAAAGGTAGGACCCATCACAAGATACCTAACACAACATCAATATTTAGTCTTTGGACAGAAATATTGACTTATAAGCGGTACTCTTGGTGTAGTGATCAAACACCGACAATAAAGAAACATGTAAATCAATAAACCTTTCTTTGAACCGATTTCTTGATCACACGTTAAACCAAATAATCGCCACATGTTTATCACCATAGGTGTATGTGCAATTCGGCTAAATATTGACCTTCCTTTGGGCCGACCAAATATTCGCTACACACACAAACACCTTTTAATATTCTAAGTTAATTAATTTCCACAAGAGATGTTGCTTTGGTAACATGTTGATTCAATTGATTTACTTTCGAGTATTACTTGTCAAAAGAGTCATTCGTACCAAAATTTTTAAAAAAAAAAAAATCACCGAATTTGCATATTTAATTTTTTTTATTTGAAAGTTTAGGAGCTTAAGGGTTAATAATCCAGAACTTTATGGATAAAAAATTAATTACCAAAACTATAGGGGTCCAAAAAGTAATTATCCAAAACTTTAGGGGCCAATTAGAACTAATTATAAACTTTGAGGGTTTTAATTACAAAATACAGAACTTTATTGACCCAAATTAATTAATTTTCAAACATCAAGAACTGAATTTTTGAACCCAGAACTTTAAAGGCCCAATTTGGATGAATTTTAACCTTAAAGGGGCTAAATTATCAAAGTTTTAAATTTAAGGGGTTGAATTATTAAAAATACATTTTAAAAATGGCAACCCTAACCCTAATCTAAAATGGAAAGTAAGGACCTTAAATTATCTAATTTCCATCATAGGCTCCCACCCCCAAAATTTTACCCAAACTGAAGACCCTAAAAAAATAAGGATGGGAGGGGGCGAAATAATGCAGAGGGCGACCCTGCCCCAAAGACTAAAGCGCTGCATGCTATGCAGCGATGTTTGTCGTTGTTGCGCACTGTGTGGGTAGCTCCCACAACAACGCGGAGGCGTTGCTTTGGTGCAACACCGCTGTTTATCAGAATTTTTTTTAAACATAACTGAAATAACGGAAAATCAACCAAAGAATTTTTAAATTTAACAAAATTAAATCCGAAATTGCTAAATTTGAAAACAATGAAATAATACAAGAACCAAATTAAAATTTTGATTCTCAATGTTTCAACATGAACAGGCTCACCACTTGTTGAGGAAATTGTTACCGTCACAATGATCTTTCATGTTGGATCACCAAGAATTCGTGAATCAAAGCGGAATCACATTGGAATCAGACATGGTTAATGCAATGAACGATCAACACGTTATTTTTTTTTCTCTAATGATGGGAGTGAGAACAGAATGAACAATTAAGTGTAATCCATGGGACCATAACCGCGCGCACACACACACACACACACACACTCTAACGGCATGTTAACGTAATTCGGCCCATCATAAAATTAGGAACGAGCTGATCTTTACACATAAGGTTCACACTTTAATTCAATGTTTCAAAACCCAAAATACTGAAACCTTATTAGATCACTTTAAACGGGATTTACTAAAATTGATAGCTTTTAATTTAATACACAATAATTCACATTTAAGAACCCATGATCAATTAAAAATCCTTACAAAACATTTGTTATAACACTACTTTGATAGATTTGAATTATAATAATACAAACACAGATTAGTACAATGAATTCACAAGCATCAACCACTCTTCTTTGGAAGAGTTGAAACAGATCTCAACTAAAACTTGAATAACGGAATTTGGCACGCAGCTTTACTTGGGAAGATTCATTGTGTAATAGGTCTGGAGAAAAGTTAAACAAAGAAGAAAAGTGGCAGCCACTAAGGCAATAAAAGTCCACGGATTGCGAAAGTAAGCGTGAATTAGTTCAGAAATTCATGTCCTTGCCTTGCTGCTGTAGTGCTTCTCAATTCCCGTCTTCACATCATCAAATATAGAGTAATCGTCAATTCCGCAAGTATCAATCTCTTTGATTACTTTGGCAACTTGTTCATCACTGTCAAGGGTGCTAAAGAGTATCTTCTTTTCTCGCAGCTCCTTCACATCTTCTGGTTTGTCAATGAGCGATTTCAAGAAATTAACATAACATATTATAGTAATGCCAGTGTCATTTTCTGGAGATGTTTCATATGCAATCATGTTTATAAAGAATAGCTTGGAAATGGAAGTGAAAAGCCAAACCGGGAGTTGAACTTGCCCATAAAATGTGTAGGAATTGAACCTAATACTCTTCAAACAATATGAACTAGGTTTGAAGTCGATGCCTTTTGATCTGAGATAGGAGACTGAACGAAATTGACGATTGTATTTCCCAAATTCAGTTCGATTCTCTTTCCTCCTTGGCCACCATTGACATTTGTTAACAGGCTGGACAAGTATTTTTCCTGCATTATCCAATTCTTCGACAAGTAGTCGATGATAAGCATCTAGTAGGTGAAGTGGTTGCTTTTTATCTTCTCCAGGAATTTTTGTTAGCCTGGTATTCTCCAAAATCATGGAACTTAAGTAATTACAAAGTAACATGGATCCTTCTCCATACATTAAATTAATCAAGAGCTTAATAACCCAGAGTGGAATTTGATTCTCAAGTAAATTTGTATCCCGAAATGCAAACGGAATTGCAGCCATTCCAAGATGTTGAAGGAAGAGGGAAGATTTTTCATCTTCATCTTCATCTTCCAAGGCAATCTCCATAAGATATATAGTGAAAAATGCGTCTCGAAGCATCATTTCTGATAGTGCTCCATCGTCATATGCATCTCTAGAAACCCCAACGTAACAATTTCTAATCTGGTCGATCACTTTAAAGATCTGGCAGTAGAAGAATTGTTTGTCTTTGCCGCTGCTTGAAACAAACATTCTAAGGACTTCATGCTTGAATTCTTCTGCCATGCCAAGTTCTGGCAAGCCATGGTAATAAGGGCCAAAGGAAACCATCTTAGGAGCGTAGTAATCCTCTTCGTCGTGTTTGTTGAATCTCATAATTTGGGGCACTCTATGCATTCGGCGACCATCAAAATATTGATGATGATCTTCACCTTGACCTTGACCTTCATCTTCTGTAATTGTAAGTTTACATTCGGTATCTCTCGTGCTATTTGGTGAAAGGTGTTGGTCTTCCATTACATTCAAGAATTGAAATTTCCAATTGCTGTACGATTGCTTTATCACAATTGATGCAAACTGCACAGCATTTTTCACTGTATTTAAAGCCAGAGAAGAATCATGGATTGGTGAAATTACAAGTAAGCATATAAAGATGAGATTATTATGGGCCCCATTGCCCAAGCATAAATTCAAAGGGTTTATCCTTTCCCTAATGACAACTTTTACCTTTTTCATTGTTGCTCATGCACTCTCCTGTACATCACTGACATTTTTGTTACTTTTATGGCCCATTTGCCTTGGATGGATGCTTTTACCCTTGATTTTCCAATTATCCAGTTTCCCTGTTTTTCTAGTAAGTGCTTAAATTTTCGTAAATCCATTTCGAAACTTGTTTCGTGTTTGTTTTGATTAAATTTATAAATTTATCCACCAACTTCGGAATGGATTGGTATACTTCCTCTACGTGTAGAATCCTAAATTCTGGAAAAAAAAAATTAATGTAAAATGTGAACAAGGCATGAAGAAGCTGGAAAAATTAATGTAAAATGGATTGATATCTGAATGTTCTTTTAACACAATTCCCTCATTTCCTGGAGGTTCTCCATCACAAAAGTGCCCCACTTTCAAATTATTCAAGTTCACTTCAGTAGAGTCAATTATTTAAGTTCCCAGCTTGTTATGAACAGATTCAGCTGCAAGCTGCTGCTTGGGCAATAAACATTTAAAGAAAAAATTCAATACTGGTTCTCAACCTATTGTCCCATTAACAGGTTAGTCCTCAATCTTCAATCGACATTACCAAACCTTCAAGAAGTATATATTCACCTGTTTTTTATTGTTTCTCATATTTTCTTTTAATTTTATCCTCTTTAAATTAATTATTTACAACTAATATATTTTATTCAAAAATAACTTGTAAATGAAATATTTGAACTAAAAAAATTATTTCCTACCTATTCTAAAAGAGCCAGTTTTTTTGCCACGTGTCTCACCCTCCCATCGTCAACCATAATGACGCCGTTTTAGAGGATTTCCCCAATTCTTTTGTACTCCGTCTCCATGGCAGCACTAAGAAGCGCAAGAATAAAATTATGTTTTCTACCCCAATTCATTTCGGCCATCTGCCTCCTCATAGGTGTCGCCGGAGTTATATTCTTTTTCCTTGCGGTCCTCCGCCCCAGACCCACCCCGTCTTCCGCTGAGGGCGCATCGAGGACACCTCTCGCTCATTCTACTCAGGCCAACTTGGTGGCGCAACCGCTGGAGACACCGGCATCCCTGACCGGCCAAAAGTTCATGGATTTGTCGGAATCCAAACCGGGTGCTCCTCCGGCGATCGTCACAAGGCTTTGAGGAGTACTTAGTTCCCCTCTGATCCTGAGAATCTTCTCAGGTAAAATTCATTAATTAAATGTCTGAAAAAGTTTTTTTATTTTTTATCTTCTGGGATTGTTGTTTTCTGTTGTATGACTTGAATTCATAGCTCAAGATAGTATCAATTAGTAGCAGCAATGTAAATACTCAAAATAGACGTTGAGACTTGAGAATTATAGAGAGTTGTGTGGAAAACTTGGAGCCTCGACTCTTTTATTTATGACGGAAATCTGGTGAGGAAGAAAGGAAAAATATACGGTAAAAAGGTTCGAATTTTGGTTGTTTTAGACTTACGACATTGACAAAAGATGATCAACGAAATTGATTATCAATAACAATGAATCAAATAAAGTCAAATTCAGAGTAAAACTTGACAAATGATTAATCATATCTTACATATTTAAAAGGCTTTTTTTTTTTTTGTAATTTTTATGGTTAATTAACTCTAAAATTAATGTTCCCAAAAAATCCCTTTTGTGAGAAAAATATAAGCACTACTAGAGAGTTAATGGTACCATGCACCTAAATTAAGTTTTGTGCCAAATCATTGAGATAAGATCCACCGCACTCTATTGTGGTGGTGGAGAGAAATTGAACTCTCAATCATTTCAAGAAAATGACACACAAATCCTCCCAACTAAAGCTGCAATTATTTTCTCATCAAAATTTGGCAAAGTAATTCTTTAGCCCCTGTTTCGTCCACATTTTGAGTCCAAGAATGCATTTTTTTGTTTGATGTGATGGAGAATATGTGGTTTAGAAAGAAGGAAAAATTATTAATGTGATGAAAAATATTATTTTATTGAAAAATGTGTGGTTGAAAAAAAGTAGAAGAATGAGAATAAAAAAATAATATGGCTCAAACAGGGACTTAATCTACAATTTCACGGCTACCTAAACATCGACATTGGGTTGGTTGATTGAGTCGAACCTAACGGATGTCTTCATAAAGTTTTGAAGACACGTTACAAATAAAATTTAGAAGGGAAATATCGAATAAAATATAAATAATGAACAAAAAAACCTAATCAATAAAAGAGAGTAGAACAGTAACAACCAAAGTGTCAAGGTCAGAAAAAGAAATTGACAAAAGTGGCTTTTCTTTTAAATTTGGCCCATGTGGAATCATACTTACTTTACTTTATCAAACTTTATANGTTCAAAATTGATATTTTAAAAAGTACTTATAACCGTTACCTTGAAACTCCCCTAAGAGCCTAGACCAAAACAAAACAAAGTTAGACGTGGTACTAAGACTTATTCTGACCTTTTATTTAAAATGATGATATTATGATCCACTCAAAGTAAGTTATTTAATTTGAAGTATTTGTTGTGTAAATATTCAACCACAATCTTTCACCATCATTTTCCCTTAATGAGTCTATTTTTTCCTATTCATATACATATATAATTAATAAACGTCATTTTCGTAATTGGATGTTTATAAAACTTGAAGCGAAATTAGGTATTGAACTTTTTTACTATATATCATCATGTTGAGTCATTTTATCTGACATATCTAAATTGTTAAAAGGAAGCAATGCGAGATCATCCNACATATCTAAATTGTTAAAAGGAAGCAATGCGAGATCATCCTATGATCTTTCTCTTTTCACGATTCTGTTCAATTAAAGATTAGGAATTAGATTTCGGATCATAGTTTTCTTAACTTCTAAGTCAAATAAACAATCTAAGTTATTTGCCTATTGAACTGTCAACATACCTTTCCCAAAAACACATTCAATCAAGGAGAACGATAAAATAAAACGTGACAAAGGAATCACGAAATAGATATTATACCAAATATAATAAGCCTCTTGTGATCGTACTCGTTGTTGCATTCTTGCAAGAAAAACAAATTGCCAAATTATTTTTACTAATAGTATATAAAAAATCTTTAAAAGTCCTAATTGAGTCCTTGTTTGACAATCATTATTTGAAAACTCTATTTTTTCTACACAAATTTATATAATAAAAAAATTTATACGCAAATTCAAAAATATTTTCAGTTTTTAATTACACATTTATGTAAAAAATATTAATTAAAATATTATTTCACCCATGTAATGATTGTCAAATAGTGACTAAATACATGGCCTAAATAAAACTTTCAAAACAATAATAGACCTAAAAAAAGCTTTTTTCGCCACTTCGGTTACAAACACAAGGGTAATTAGCATATAACGTCCCAATCTTTCATTGTCATACCTTTCATTTTTTAGTATTTTTACCCTTATTTTCATATTTCATTGTGCAAAAAGTCATTTTCATCAATTTTCTGAATAAAAAATTGTGAAATGATGAATATACCCCTCTATTTAAATAAAACAAAAAGAAAAAAATAACTAATTGTAATCACAGTCCCAATTTTTTTTTTCAAAAAACGCAAATAAGTCACAAATAAATTATTAAAAGGGTAATTAGTATATAATGTCCATACCTTTCACCGATATTGTGAAAAACGTCCATATCGTTCATTTTTTGGTATTTTCTTCCTTAATTACACATTTGATTGTACAAACCATCATTTCTATCCATTTTCATCCAATTTCTCAATGTAACTTACCTTGGAGGTTGGTTGCTGGTTGAAGTTTAATGTTGACTCCAGTTTTATATGTTTCGCAGCCGTTCAATGCTGCCCAAAAAATGTGCTAATTAGTAAAGAAATAAAAAACTTTAGTTTGTGATGTGGTAGATATTTTGGGTACTGAAATTGGATTAGTGGTTGAAATAATTATTAATCTTAAGAAAAATATACGGAAAGTTGCTGCAATTTCTGAATTTGCCGACCTTTATGCATGCATAGAAGATTATTGTATGATCTTGGCTTGAATAAGGAATGTACCCCATTTTCACCCTAATCCTGAGAAATCCCCCTGGCATCGCAATATGTTTAGTGCATATAATAGTAAACTTGTGATAGATTTTTGTCACTAAAATAGAGCTGTACAGTTCATTGCTTTTGATTGTACCAGTCATGGAATATTTTTTTAGCTCATTATCGTTATTACTGGATTAGAGTGTGACTGAACTTACTACAAGAGAAATTTTAGACCTAAAAAGAAATATTATCATGATGTTAAAAAAATTAAAATTAAAATTTAATAACCATACCATACCTGATATAAAGAAAGCTTGATACTTACAAAAAACCTTTTATCTCACGACTTTGACTTAAATATAAACATTTTTAACAATACTCCTCAAAAACTCCAAAAAAATTCATAAAGAAGAAATTTTTGTAAAGTAATTTTCTACCACTACGAACCACTTCCAAGCACGGGTCACCTGCAAACCATTAATTTGGTGAAGAGGAAAGAGAAGGATGCTACAAAGTCTCTATAAAAAGGCATCAAGGTGGAGGTACCACAAAAAATGGTCCAATTATTGATATTACATAATCATATTTACAAGTGGAGGAAAGAGAATTCGAAGCCAATTCTTTGTAGTATCGAATTTCTCATTTAATACTACGACTCCAGTCCTTCTTACACATCATGTTTGGACTTGTAAAATAATGAAAAGTATATGATATTTAAGATGGACAGGAGTTGTAGTACTACACGTGAAATTAAGGCCTATGAAGGATTGGCTTCAAATTCACGTTGTAAGTATGATTATGTAGTATGCATTTGTTGGACCATGTTGAATGTACTCCACTTGCTAATTGTTTATTGAGATTTTATCTCACTCCTCTCTTCGCCCTATAGGAATTAATGGTTCGAGGAGGCCGATGCTTGATACAAGAAAAATATTTGAGAAATTTCCTTTTTACGAATTTCTTGGTATTTTGGATGATTATTGTTAAAAATGTTTATCTTGAAGTCAAAGTCGTTAAATATAAAGATTTTATTTTTTGT